AATGCGAGGCCGCGGAGGCTCGAAAGTCGGCTGGCTCGAAAAGAAATCGGTGTTAATGGGGCGAAAGGAGGAGCGTTGGCTCGGTGAAACGACGAAAGACACTGTGAACGTGTTCCCCGAGTAAAAAGAGACCGAGGAGAGCGCGCGCTCGGAGGAAAACTCGCCGGGTAGGAAGGAGGTGATTAGCAGTCGGGGAGGGTGAGAGGAGGCGGCGGCGGCGGCTGATCGCGGTATAATCGAGTCGCTTCGAAAAGTAATTATCGGTCGGTTATCTGGCACCGACAGTTCGATTAGGCGGCTCGGCCTGCACGATTTTATCCTTTAAACCGGGAGAACCCTTTCGGAACTGCCGCCGCCCCCCTGTTTGTTATTCCGTCCGGTCGCTTCGGTGACGCGTTCGAGCCGAAGACGAGCTCGAGGAGACTTCTTCGAGGCGATTGCCTCTCGTATCCGGTCAGTGTGCTGGTGTCCCGTCCCGCGTCCCGTGCCGGGAATCGCTAATGCGTGACAGGGATGTCGCTCGATATTCCGTCGGTTTCGTCCAGATTTAAGAACTCCAGGATTTCGTGGCGCTCGTTTTGGACCGCGTCGTTTTGATATGCAACAGAGCCATTTACTTTCGAATTTCGGCAACTTTTTGTCCGGCTCGCTAGGTCCAGCGTTCGTAATTTCCCTCGCGAAACGACACCAGCGGTCGTTTCTTGCAAAGATCGAGCTCTCCGAAAGCGGCGCGATCTCTCGGGGCCCGTGAAATTGGAGCCGGCTGTAGGCGAAAACAGCATCGACCTGTGGAGAGACGAAGGGGGTAGCCAGGACTACGTGGAAGCAGCGACAGGGTTTTTGTCGTAGCCGGGGGTAACTTCCGGTAATCGATACCCCACGGTTTCAACGAACCGAACACGTCGCCGGAGACGTTCCGCTCGGACAAAAGCGGAAGTTGCATCGCGACGCTCAAAGGCTTCGCGGTGCTCGCTCCCAATCTCGACGGAGACTTTAGAAACCGAAGTTCCCACACCCCCGTCGCGCTCTCTACCCTCCAGCACAGCTTTTCTTTCCTCGATCGCGTTTCCTCCATTTCTCTCTCTGCCGTTTCACGGCACTCGACGCTCGACGCTCGACGCTCGGCGCTCGGCGGAGTGCCGTCGTCGACGTTGACGTCGAATTTCCGGCATTTTTCGCGCTCTCTCGCCTCGCATTCCTCCGCGCCGCTTTCGCCCCCCTTTTACCCGATGCGCCATACGTTTCCGCGACCCCTCGAGCGAGCCAAAGGCGGAATTCGATTGCCTCGCGAGCACCGGATACGCGATCGACAAGCGAAACCGTACACGGGACACGCCGAGAGGGGTGCTGCCGGTCGATCGGGTTCACAGATACCCCTCCCGATTCTCGCTGCGCTATCGTTTGTCGGGGATCTATCGATCCGCGCGCCGCCTACCTGCCTCGGCGTTGTTATCGTTGCACCGCGAGACTCTCCGCGGATTTACATTCTTCGGCGTTTTGTAAGAATCCGCGGATTCGTTTTATTTTTAGAAGAGCCGCGCCACTGGATCGGTAGAGGAGTGGGCGGTGCTCTTGGTCCGAGTGGGCGTGGCCTGTGGCCCGTGCCACCGAAGGTGCAATTGCCCTCGCGGCAATCTTCCTCTATTAGCGCGAGAATGAATTCGATTCGTCTTTTACATCTTAAAAGTGAGAACGTTGAATTGACAATCGACGTCGAGCGGCTTTGCTTCTCAATTTTGATTTGGTCGAATGAAATACATCAGTTTTATCCAGCTGCGACAATCTTTTTTAGATATCTTCGCGTAGGTCGCGCAGAGTGGGCGTGGCCTCGTGGCTCCGCAGATCCGTCCACGGCTCAGCATTCGGTGCGGAGCAATTGGACCGAAATATTCCGGTTCTTTGTCGACGATCGCTGATCGAAATCGAACGCGTGGGCGTAGACCGACGGAGCGGTTCCCGACGAGGACTCGGATCAACGAACGAACCGGCTTTTTCGCGGCGTCGAGAGATCGTTGACGTTCTCGTCGTGACGAACGATCCCGAGAAACGAGCATCAGACGCGCAGGGCAGCCACGTTTGTTTCCCAACAGGCTATTGGCGTCGTTTGACACCGTTGGCCCCAATTGGCACTCGTTGACCCCACTGTACGCGTTGTCATGACTCCGAGTCATCGGCTTACCAGCCCGTTAAACTTGCTCCCTGGCCTCATCGCCCTCCGTAATCATCCGGCAGGCTTGCTCTCGCCTCTGCCCGCCTCTCACCGACCCTCTCCCTCTCTCTCTCCTCTCTTCTCTTCTCTTCTCTTCTCTTCTCTTCTCTCCGTTTTCTGCCCTCCACCGCTTCTCTCCAAACCCACACACGAACGCGATGCAGAGAGTCTCTCCTCTTCTCTCCTCTCCTCCCATCCTCGATCGTAGCGCTTCTGCAGAAGCGCGCGCCACGCACGAACACGCTTCCTTCCACGTACTCGCCGGAGCGTGTTCCCGCACGCGTTCACGTGCCAGCGAACGGATCCGCTCTCCTCCTTCGGCATGCGAGACCACCGAGAGGCATCTGCTCTCCGCAACTTCCACCGTGAATCCGCTAAATTGATTCGGGCCACGAACTTTGAGGCGCGTTCGCGATCACCGCGCGGAATTTCCTCTCGCGAACTCATCGCCGACTCGCCCGTTCGCCCGTTCGCTCGCTTTCTCTCGCGGTTTACAGCTTCCGTTGCGCGCCGGTGCGAGCGGCGTCGAAGCTTCAATTAGCGGCTCGGGCGTTCACAGCTAGATTTCTCCGCCGGTTGCTCCGCCGATCTGTTGGTCTCTGCTTCAGCTCCGATCTTACGGAGAGAATCGTCGTTTTTATCAGCGAAGCGGATCTCCGAGCGGAATTGGCGCGCCATTTCAAATGATCGAGAAGCCGGTACGATTAGATTTCCACGAAATCCAGTCGAAACGACTCCTTAATCGATATAAATTCAATCGCGCGCTACCGTTAAGGCGATTGAGCGAAGCGGAGCGGAGCATGGCGGAGCGGAACACCGCGGCGAATCGAATTCGGTGATCCGCTGGTTGGACTTGTACAGCTGTTTCACGCCGCAAAACAAACACGCGCGCCCCGTTTCCCGCTTGTCCGGCCTTTCCGCCCGTAATTGATCGTAAACCCGCGGCGGTCCCGCGGTTTTACGAGCGGCTCGGTTTAGAAACGGTTTTCCCGGGAACCGAGACTCCGCTTCTCTTGTGTCCCTGTTTCATTGGATTTCTCGGTATCCGCCAGAGCACGCTCTCTCGCCTCCTCTTTCCGTTCTGATAAATAGCTCTCCTTCCCTGCGTATCGCAATTTCATCGAGTCCTCGCGCAAAGTCCATCGCATCGGTAGCCCGATGCATCGTTTGAACAACTTAAACGCGATTCTCCTTCGAGTCGCGACGAGGCCGAACGCCAACGCGGATCTCTCGACGAAGAGATCCGCGGCGAATCAGATCGATTCGATCGATGGAAATCTGTACGGCGCGGAGCCTCTCGCGATCGACGATGTGTCGCCGATAAGGTGATCGAGCGCCGCTGTCCGCTGCGCTTTCGACGCGAATCGTCGGCGTCGGCGTCGAAACGCCGGACTGACATCAAAGGCGCAGTATATAAATCAATTACCGACGGCAAAGCGACGAGGCGGGCAACGCGACGCCAGCCGGCGCGGCGTGCCGAACCGAGCCGCGCTGCGATACGGCCGGTCGACGTTCCGCGCAAACTCGATTATCGATACATCGACGGAGGCCTCTCGTCGGCTGCCAGCCGACCATCGATAAGGGGTAGCTAAGGGTAACAAGCTGCGCCAAGAACGGGGGCGGGGAATCGGCGCTACAGCCTCCCTATAGGCTCGCTTTTGGCACACGATTCCTCTCGATCGATTTTCCCGCTTGTTGGCTCTTCGCGCCGAGCCTGCCGCGCTCGAAATCATTTCGTATTTTACATAAACTTCAGAGCCGCTTTCTCGTAGCAATAACAGTGCCAGTCGCCGTTGTTCTAAACAATTTTGAACACGTCGATGCACGAATCGGATCGCAGAATTTCCGGCAGCAATTTCGGAAAGCTGGCTCGGGAATTCGATGGCAGCGTCCGTTCGATAAACGTCCTGAATTTCTGGACGCTCGGTTAATTAACTCGCCCTCGGAAAGTAATTACACGCACAAAGGTTCCGCAAGTTTTGTCGGGAGCGCGAGCCTGGCCTGGTCTGGCCGCGTTGTTTCGCGCTCGAGCGTGAACCCGGCGCTCGCCTTTGACGCCGGAGGCGGCTCGCCTGTGCACCCGCGAAGAATTTTTCATCCGAGAATTCCGAGGTTTCATTGATTGCGGGTCAAGTGGCTCTGTGACACCAGTTAACCCCGGTCGCGGACGATCCGCGTGATACGAATTACGTGCGAGGCGTGTTTACCAGCCGTTTCTCGCGTCCCCTTCTCGCGTCGGCTTCGTCTTCGTCTTTGTTCGATCGCGCGCCGACAAGCAGAACAGGAGGGATTACAGCGCGCGATGGAAAAAGGAAACGGACGAGGACGAATCGGATCGCATCGCGGCGGATCGGATCGCGCGATGATTCGAGAACGAAAACGGCGAGGCGAGGCGGGTCGGCGCGGGTCGAAGCGGGTCGGCGCGACCGACACGCGTATCCGCGCGAGCTATTTTTGGCGCGATGCGGCCGTGCGGCACGTTCCACTGCCACGTTCACCGTGTCAAATTAATATCGACGCATCCGGCCGGGTACTATCCGATGCCACCGGCCATCGAGATCGTTCAATTGTCCCTCGAGCTTGCTTGAACTCGCGCGCTGCATTCCGCTCGATCGATCTTTGAACGACGCGCAACGCGGACTTTTGTTGTCGGGGCTCGGAACCGAGAGATCCCAGTGGCGGAAACGTGGTTCAACCTCTGCATCCCTGAAATACCTATCGTACAAACGAAAAATTCTTCGACGTTCCGCAGCTCTCTCTAACCGTCCTCGCTCTTCTTTTTTTGTTCCAGGTAAGCAGATGCAGAACGCTCGAGGAGTGCTCGGCGCGGAACAGACACGTAAGTTAATCGTCGTGCGCGACAGAAAAATCCGGAGAAAAGGGAGCGAGAGAGAGGGACAGAGAGAGGGAGCGAGAGAGAGGGGCTTCCGCGCGCCGCGACGCATATAAACGGCCGACGTCTTCATTGTTCGCGCGTCCTTTGCCGCGCGTTGATCCGCATAAATTAAATCGTGATTCGAGGCGTCTATCGGCGACGCGAGGCCGGCCTCTCCTCGAAATACAAAAATCTATCTACGGTCCCCGCTCCGACTTTCGTAGCTCCGCCTCTCTCGTCGCTCTCGCGCGGACCTCGTCGCAGTGTTTAGACCTCTTCGGAAAACTGTTTAAGTTTGGGCCTGTCCGGCTAGCAAATTTCTATTCTTTCCATGTTCACTTTTGGTATCAATTCGGTGAGCCAGTGGAGCAGCGTTTAAAAGGTCCGAGTAAAAGTCTAAACATGTGTACAGTGTCCAAGATATCTGTAAGAAATTTCGAATCTCCCAAAAATCTATAGCTAAGACATTATTGAACGAACCAGAAAAGCATTCGTTTCCGCGTTCGGTACAGAAAGTGGGCCCTCGGAGGCGTGGCCTATCGCCGCTCTAGCTCGCAGTAGGCGTGTCCTCCGTCCCCGCGATACCCAGTAGGCGTGGTCTACTGTCGCTCCCGGGTATACAGTCTCTCGCAGCCCACGCCTAGTTGACTCACCGTCGAAAAATCTAGTCCCGCGATCTCTGTCGTCGGAAACGTTGAGTCAGCCCAGTTTCGGAGCCAGGGCAATGCCCCACGGGGCAGTAGTCGGCCACGCCCGGTCCGGGAAGCGGAAAATAAACCGGAGCACGGGTTTAGCAGCTGAGCCGGCGCGCCGTGGCAAGTCGGCGAGTGAAACTGGCAACGGCAACCGGCGTTCGGGTGATCGGGCTCGAGCGAATCAGACCGTTTCGCAGTCCCGTCGAGGGACCGGTGCATAAACAAACGGCCGCGCGCGCACGAGAGAGAGAGAGAGAGAACTCTCTCACTGGAATATCTAACGGTAAACGATCGTTGGCGCGATACGTGGCTTCCAGTTACGGAGCAGCGCGCCTGGAAGACCGTTTGACATCGTTCGCAGCGATTGTCCTTACTCGGAGCGGAGATACCTCGGCTCGCTGGATAATTGTTTGCTTCTTGAATCATTTTAGTTGCCGCCATCGCTTCTAACGATTCGGTAATTACTTAATTAAAAAATTAGCCGGGAATTACGCGATTCTTGTTGACGGTTCTCCGGGAAGTAAATCACGGTCGTCTCACCGGAAGTCAACCCCGTTTCCCCCGCACCGTTAACAGATCTTTCAGGAGAACTGTTCTTGTTTTTTAGGACAGCGGTAACGACCTCGGGTCGCCTGCCATACTTAACCCCTTGCCCTATAATATCGTGTCGGACACGCTGCTAAGATTTGGAACATGATCTACCAAGATGTTGTTCGCGTTTCTTAAATCGAAATGAAATTCCACCCTTCTGTTAACAATACAAAATGTCAACGTTCAACTACAGCTTGGCATTCGATAAAGAAAAACGATCTGTCTCGTCTAGGAATTTACTAACGACTTGGCTGCGCATGAAATCTCGGCGCAAGGGGTTAAAGACCCCCAACTTTCTAAACATGCGCGAACGAACGCGCTCCATCGGATATTCGCAGACGTTCGAGTTTGCAGACCGGATCGGAAAATTAACCGAAAACGGAATTTCGATGCTTCGATTTCTTGTAAAAGTTAGCCGACTAGTCGCGGATAGAAAAGTCCGCGAGCAGATGTTTCCTTTCGTGGCTATCATAATTCGAGCGTTGAAAAATCGAGCGTACCATCGGAAGCGGCGCTGATATTTTATCGCAAGAAAGAGAGAGAGAGAGAGAGAGAGAGACCTGGTATCCAGAGAGATAGAAAGAGAAAGAGAGAACGTTTCCATTGTTACGATCGGGGCTCGGATCGGCCCCGTCGTTAGGAACAACCGATTTCCTCGGGAAACGCGTTCGTAGCGTTGAAAACTCGCAAAGGGGATTTGCGCCGATACGCGCGCGGAGTGCGGAGTCGTAACGATTTCACGGGCGGGCGGTTATTCGGATGCAAGCTTGTCGTGCAGGGAAGTGGCGAGTGTAACGGGGGACGAAGCGTGCGCGGGGGTGGCTCTCTGCATGGCGGTGGGGCGCGGCGGGGATGTAGAGAGTGAGGGAGAGAGAAAGAGGAGAGAGAGAGAGAGCGAGGGGTGGGTAGAGAGAGAGACGAGGCGGGCTGCTCTCTCGCATGCACCGCCGCCCCCGTAATCGCGGTTAATTAACGAGCCGGCAGCTGGTAACGAGGCTGCCGATTGCTTGCCAAGCATCGGCCGCGATTATTCCGGCTCCTATTCCTTTCCGGTTCGTCGGATTCGCCGAGCGATTGTCATCGCTTCCGCCGGAAAACGGTTCCACGTTTTTCAGAGGCTGTCCCTTTCTGCTGCGGGCGCGACTCGGCTCTCCGGAAGGTTTCGCGCTGCTTCGGGACTTTGATGGTGTCGCGGCGATCCGAGGAATGCCGGTTCCGAAAGTAGACGGGAATAGAGAAAAAGGGAGGCGACCGAATAGGAACGCCGCGAGGCCCGGACGAAAATACGGTTCGGGAAATCGGGAAACGCGCGATCGAGTCTCCGAAGCTTAGGCTTCGTTCGCATTGGCCCGAGATTCGTACAGTAATGTCTCCCTTATTGACGCTTAGATTGCGCACGAAATTGGACAATTTGGGAAGAGAAGATACGATTAAATTGAGTCTTGCGGTTTATTGTTATAGTTATAAATTGTCCACAATTATAAAAAACGAGCCGCAAGGCTCGAATAATCGTATCTCCTCCTTCCAAATTATCCATTTTAGTGGACAATTTGAGCGTCAGTAAGGGAGACTTACTGTACCTCGCACCTCTGCGGATGAATTTTGTCCATTCAATTTTCGTCTACTTCGCTCCACTTATACAACATCGATTACTTTTTCAATATCCTTACGTTTCGCGGATCTCACGAAAATTAGCGAGATTTAATGTACCAGCGCGACAATATATTTTCAAGCGTGCGCAAACAATTCCGTCAGCCGGATACAAATAACGCGATCGGCCATACGTGAATCGCGCTGTAGCACCGTGGGGAATCGCGCGCTTCCGTTCGCGTTGTCTCGACGTTTCGAAAGAATTCGAACAGAGTGTGCAGCCTGTGAAACGCAATCCGCGGATAAATGCCGGGATTTCTTTTCGGTGCCAAGGATTTCCAGATAAATGTGTTTTCCGAGCGACGAGTGATTAAAGCGTTCCCTCTTTCGCTCCGCCATTCTCTCTCTTCTCCCAGCGTTCCTCCCACCAGATTTCTCTCCCCCTCTCTCTCTCTCTCTTTGTCTCTCTCTCTCTCTCTCTCTCTCTCCGGTTCCCTTCTATCTTTTTTCTCCTGTCAGCGAAGCAGCGGAGCGTTTCTATCTTTGCGCTTGAAAAGGATCGCGAACGTCCTTCTCCTCGCTTTAACCAACCGGGCCGTTCTTTTTCCGCGGAAAATGCAGCTTTTAAATCTCGATCCGCGTCGTTCCCCGCCGGGAACCGGGAGGAAGAGCCACGGGATGCCGGCGTTTCGTCGCCGAAACGGAAAACACATCCTACCCTGTTAGATGATATGAAAATCGAACCGTCGAATCGGCGCAATAAACGCGTTGTTCGCGAATTAAACGCGAAAGGGTTTGTTCGTGCATTGTGCGAAACGAGTGAGAGAGATTTTATTTTCAAGAAAGCCGTAGAGAAGAGGGTCTCTTATTAGGAATATCTCGGGAAAAGTGGAATAGACGCGCCTCGGAGACGAAGCCGAATCCGTGTCTTCGTCTCGGCGAATTAATCTAGCGAAATGGCACGGCGGGAACCACCCCTCTGTGTCGGCCGTTTTTCGAGCAAAGTAACAGACGTTACTAGAGCGTGCCATAATCGCCGGGCGCAGACAGAAAGTCTTCTTCCCGTTTCCGGCCTCCCGGTTTTACCGGGGCGCGTTCGTCTCTGTTTGTTAAACCAAAGGGAACCGCTGGAATTCCCGTCGAGCACACCGTTCCGGCAGGATATGGAAATTCGGTCGATAGATGGATCGCCGTTCTCGATTTCCGGTGGATGGATCCCGTGGACCGGAATCTGGGAAAACGGCGATACTCCGCGGAGTCCGCAGGCAACGAGAAACTTTTCCGCTTTTACCCCGGCGAATCCCACAGACGGCGCGACGCGACTCGGCTCGGCTCGGCTCGGCTTGGTACGGCGCGGCAGGGCCGTGTACTTGGCGTGAAAAGTTCCCGTGCCCGTTAATCTTCACCCTCTTGAAGTTTATCGTGCGTTACGTAGACCCTCGCACCAAGTTTTCGTCGAGGAAACGCCGGAAGCCGGAGGGTAGATAGAGAAGGCTACCGGTCGCTGCAAAATCGAGGATCCTGCGTCGCCTTTCCGAGACAAGCAAATTATTTTATTCGAGAACAACAATACTCGAGGATAGTTTCTTTATACTATTTTACTTTATTTTCTCTCATAATTACGAATTTAAACGAGTCCGTCGAAAAACGAGGCTAACTCTAATTTCAATCGAATCTATTTCTGAGCCGTCCCCGCGTATCCGTTTGTCGCGCGTTCTTCTAAATTTAATTTAATTGAATTTCAAACGTTCAGAAATTTTTTCCGGGCACGAATTGTCGGTCGATTCGTTTCGCATCGCAGAGGACCGGCAATTTTGCGTCGCTCTGTATCGTTTGCTCGCTATCAAGCGGCGCGGTGCGAAACTCGCTGCCGCTACCGAATAAATAATAAGAACAGGAAGGAAAAAGTTGACTGCCGGGAATACCGTGCCAGGTTGTAAAGTCTGCCAGCGAACGGCGGCGTTCCCGTGAAATTTGTGCGCTCGAACCGCGGGAAAAACCGCCTCGGAACGACCGGAGACCTGGAAACGATTTGCGGAGAAGTCTGCGAATTAAGAGAGAGAGAGAGAGAAAGAGAGAGAGAGAGAG